GACGAATTCGACCTTCGGAGGACCCGGCCTGCCGTTTTGGACACAGCCAGAGCGTTCCATTCCAGTTTGATAGAGGGGACTAAATAGGTGCAGATTTTTTATTTTTTTATTATTTACAACTAAATTCAAAGAAGTCAACAAGGGAAGACTTGTCCTTCCAGCCTTACGTTGGAGCCAGAGTTTGACCCATGAACCGGATAATGAAGACCACCAAATTGTAGCTGGTAAGTCCAGACCTTAGTTCCTTTGCAAATAATTTGACACACAAGTTCAAAATAAGCTATAGGAAGTAGAAAAAAAATTGAACAGGTTAAAAAAAATATTGACCCAAACAGAATATAAAGAGAGACTCCAAGTACACAACAAAATGCATTTAATGGCTAAAATAAGTGCATTTTGTTCGATGTGTCCCCTCTAAAAAGACTTTGAGAGGAAATCTGCTGTTCAAAGCAGAAAGAAATATGAGTAAGATCAGATTAAATGCAGGAACTCAAACAGGACTGTGGAGAGCCATAAAAACAGTTTGGTATTCAAACATGAAAACTTCTGCTGCACATGGACATTTAAATTAGTCACTCTATCTGTGTCTATAATTAAACACGTGATTGTATTAGTTGGCCTTAAGTCACAAACTTTGCTTACAAACTTTAAATTTAATGTTGCTCAGACTGAGTTTATTACAAACAGTTTTGTGACTTTGCAATGAGTGCCTTTAACACTTCCAGCCTACAAGATTATTTATATATATATTATAGTTTCAAGTTATTCAAGGTTAAACATGAGTCGTAGATGGAACTTGACAGTTTAAATGTAACAAGCCTTTGGATGATTTTCTGAGTAATTGCAACAGACTAATGATGGAGCRCAGTTCATTGAAAATCACTCAGCTTTTGCCCGCTAACCGACAGAGACAGACTGTTATTAAAGCCGCTTTTACAGCCCTTTGAAAGTGTCAGAGCGGTGATAAGGAACGGTATCAAAAAAAAAACCTGCTTACTCGGAGCCCCCTTTGAGTGTGAGACAAGAAAATACGACCATCCACTTAGCAGGTAGACATTACCAGGAGAAAATGTTCATGGTTAAGTGCTCACTTCTATTTTTAAAAGCTTMCAGTGATGTATAAAACCACCAATCATAATCACCAGTCACCTTGGTAATGACGGCTTTTTCTTAAATTTCAGATTAGTATGTAAAATCCATGTTTTTTAAATTTTTCCTGAATCTGCTCTGTGACTAACTCCACTGTTGTATCTGTGCGGTGTCAGTGTTTCTGCTGTCTCCAGCGGTGCTGAGGTTGAACTGCACGTTCGCCTGTGTTCTGCTATCTCCTGCCTTACTGTCGATGTGAAGAGCCTGCTGTAGGCTGCAGAAACCTTCTCTCTCTCTGAGCGGATGTGGGCACAGCTTTCGTTGTGGAACGCCAACATCTGTGTGCTCTGTGCTCCCTCAGCACGCCCACCCTGAAGGAGCGCTTGAAGGGGGGGAGGGAGGCTTCCTGTCACAACAGTGCAGAAAGTAAAAAAAAAAAATTTGGCAGGAGACTTGATTTTTGGGCTGGTTTTACGCACGGAGTCATGCTTTTTGCTCACTGTAAATTTTCTGGAAACGTCACGCGATTCTCTGAAAATCTGTTTGGTTTGCTGGTTGATTGAACCAAGTTTTGTTTTTGCAAGTTTTGTATCTTTCTGCTGCTTTCAGCTCAATCAGTGGTGTCTCAGCTCCTGTTCAGGTCTTTGTTTTGTTGTTTGACTTCTTGTTTTAGCTCAGAAATGTGTCGGGTTAAGAATGTAAACTGTAAGAAGTATGCAGGATCAGTTCAGATAATAAACATTTAAGTATTTTTTCTTTACAGCAGGGCTATTCAACTAAATTGCTCCGGGGGCCACAGTTACTGCCGGTCAACAGCTGAGGGGCCGAACATCCAGCAATTAGTTATTATGTAAATAAACCAAGTATTACAAATATCTGTTACCTTTGAATTAGTTTAATTTGCTGCATTTAATCATGAATACAACATACAAAACCCTATAAAAGTAGTGGTAATTAAACATTATCAAAAACAAAAGTTACACGTTATACCTTCTATTTAACACATTATTTTGACATCTCTGACTTGCCAAATTTTTAAACCAATTTTATTTTCACTTTCATCATTTTATCTTCAACTGCTTGTAGATTTAACTGTCTTGAGTGTTTATAGAAATGGTTTCTACCAGCTTCTAGCCAAGATTCTGACGTTTCTGTAGATACCAAACATGTCTATGTTTAAGTAAAAAAAAACAGAGTAATTAAAGTAGGAAACCGGGGTTTTGGGCTTAAGAGGTGAATGAACCAATTGACGGGCCGAACTTTGGTCACTCACGGGCCGGATGTGGCCCGCAGGCTGCCAGTTGAATAGCCCTGCTTTACAGTAACTGATTTACCTAAACTTAGAAGTATGTTACTGACACAATGGAGAATCAGTCATCATCAGAATAAGTTTGCCCTTTTATTGATCCCTTCAGGGGAAAATCTGAGGTACGGAAAAAAAGAATACACTTAATAATCTATTAAACCAAGTTTTCAGAAAATTGTAAAGTCACCAAAAATAACATTTTCTCTCCACATAAAGAAATGTACTGTATATTCTTTCTAAACTTATTCTATTTTGATTTTCATTAACAATAGTATTAACTAATAGACCTGTTCTTACATATACATTTAGAAGACTTTATTGGCTTATTTTTTATTGTTAAAGTATTTCTGTTGTTGTAATCATCTAGTTTAATTGTTCAAATGAATTGAAGGTGAGCTGCAGAGGAAGATACAGCTCATGCTTGTGTTGCCATGTAGAAGGTTTTTGTTTTGTTTTGGGCTTGCTCAAGTTAGCACAAAATATGTAGTTATTAGCATGACGGCTAAGCGGTTAGCACTGTTGTCTCACAGCAAAAAGGTCTTGGGTTTAACTCCCAGGTTTGGCCTGGGGTCTGTCCTTCGTCCTCCTCCTGCACTCCAGTTACCTCAAAGTCCAAAAACAGGCATATGTGTGCTGCCTGTAGGCCAGCATCCCTTTAAAGTCAGTTAAATAATAAAAATAAAGTAAAGGTTAAAAATAAAAATGTGAAAATGTTTGATCGTATTTAAAGTATTAGGCTTTAATGCAGCACAGTGTAACTAAATACTGCAGTATTATTGGCTCTGGTGTGTGACAGTAGTGACAATAGGCAGGGGGTTTCCATAACATATCAAATATCTGTCTGCGTCAGAGGGTTATTTTTTGTT